GCAAAATGCCTCGCTACCTCTGGGCCGGTGTCTCATCGTTAGTCGCTGCGCGCGCCGGAAGCCGCCGAAACCGCAGCCGGACGCCCGCGCGATGCGCGCGTTTCCTCATTGAGTGGGCGAGCAACCGCGCGCGGACAGAAAAGCTGCGCAGGGCGCCCGAAGGCTAGAAATTGGCCGCCCAAGGATAACTACGCTGTCCCCAGAGCCCTCATACGCAACGCCAGTACTGCATACAACAGAAACCAATGAGGCGCATATGGCCTCGTAGCGCGCGCGCGCGCTCGACTGGCCATGCCCGCCAGCCCCCCGCGCATGGAATCAAGGGCCACTGCCCCGCCGCGCCCTCGGCATGCACAGGCCGCAACCTGGCGCGCGCGCGAAACGATGTACACCCACGCTGGCCACGCCAGTTGACAGACCGGCATTGCATACGAGAGACTTCCACCTAAAAAGTTGAACCGACAAAAGCTGGTGGAGGCCGACTGCCAGCCTACGGATGCCAGAGTTCGCCGCGCCACAGCACAGCGCCGCCGAAGCGTGCCGTCGCCGCCGCATGACACGCCCTGACGTCCCTCCGCAAGAACGCCGCACGCGCGGTGTCTCATCGTTGGTCGGTGCGCACGCCGGAAGCCACCGACGCCGCGGCCAGCGCCCGCGCGACACGCATGCACACTCGTTGAAGGAGATGAGCAACTGCAGGGGCAGAAAAGCTGTGCGGGGCGCCCAAAGGCCAGTGGCTGGCCGCCCGTGGGCTCCGGAGGGCAACGCTGAATCTCCCCAGCGGTCACAATGTCGATGTGGCGTCCTTCTTCCCAAGTGTCTGTAGCCATGCGTACTCTTGCAGGTTCTGTCCCCGGTGCCCGAGCAAGCGAACCTGCAGCTTGTCGATGCAAGACTAATCAGGCACCTTTCGGGGGGCGTGGCAGACGCGGAGCCCCCCCTCAGCCCCCTCGGCCAAAATATTGGGGCCGGGCCACCAGCCACCATACCAACAGGACCGCTGAGTCCACCTAGCCCCGACCTTGTGGATGATACCCCTGGAACCCGTGTCGATGCCGAAGTTCGCCGACGGATGAGATGGACAACCCACGTCACTCATCGACACGCTCCCCAAGGGCTTGACATGGCATCGCCGAAAGGCGACGGCCACACTCTGGCGAGCGCGGCATCTCGTAATGAGACGCTTTGCACGCCATCCGCCACCGCAGCCGCGGACTGCGCCCAGGCGCAACGCGAGCATCAGCAGGGACAGAAAAGCTGCGCGGTGCGCTCAAAGGCCAGTGGCTGGCCGCCCGTGGGCTCCGAGTGGAAGCCTAACTTCTAGTGGTAGCTCGCAAAGCTACCGCGAAATGTGACAGCCTCGATCGGAACCGCTGGAGCCAGAGTGCACCCCCGAAGCATGAGGCTAATGCTGCCTGGTTAGGCAGCGGATTGCGGCGGTTCTAGAGTAAGACGGGGCCCGTCGCTGTCAGCCGCCCCGACTGATCCTCCTCGTCGGGTTAGCTTCCGCCAGTGCCGAATCGGGAAATCAGATCGAATCAAAATGTGCGTCGGATCGGCACGGAGTCGAAGCCGAATCGGATCGGCCGCGCCAAAATGCACCACAACGCCATGCGAACATCGGGGCGCACCGGATCGTCTGCCCAAAGATGCCCCCAGCTTTTCGCCCTACTTTGGAGGTCCTGGGGCCGCCCGGTCCTCGTGAGGGGTGCTCTGGATGCCTGGGAATCCTGGGAATCCTGGGGGCACCTTGGACCAGGGGCACTTCTAGCAACTCCCGACGAATCGGCATCGATATCGAGTCGGAATGGACCCTACTCGTTCTGGGGTCATCCAGGGTCATAAATCGGACCTCCAGCTGCCCTGCGGGGCGACTCGGGCACTGCCAGGGCGCTCTCGGCGAGGCGCAGCTGCTGGAGAGGCGCCCCGAGGCTGGAAAGCCGCCGAGCACTGACGAAAGCGCCCGACAAACCTTCGGCCCCTTTCGCCCAGAAGCCTCGAGCCCCTCTCGTCAATCGCCCCCCTCTCGTCCTTGACCCCCAGTAGTCATTTTGGCTCAAGTGCGAGGGTGGCCCTGGCGAGCGCGCAGCTGAAGGTGCTTGCCACGCGTCCCAGCCTTGCAGTTCAACGAGTGGGCGGTGTCGCTGCTCTCGCCTGAGCTGAATCGTGTGCTGAGTGCTCCGGCAATGCGCTCCTCTCCCCAGTCGAGAGGGGGGCAGGAGGCTGGAACATCGCCGAGAACCTGCGGGCACGCCAGCTACACCTCGAGCCCCGTTCGCCTGAAAGCCTCGAACCCCCCTCGTCCATAGCGCCCCCCTCTTCCCTAAGATCCGACGTCGCGACATCGCTTGGCGGCGCGCGCAGGGGGGTATGGGGGGGGGGAGGCTTCTTCGAAACACCCCTGCTTCTTAGTAGGCGCGGACCTTGTCTACAAATGTAAGGCCGGCGCCTTCTAAGAAGCAGCCTCCTTTTAAGAAGCCCCCCCCTCCCCCTACCCCCCTCTGCGCGCCGCCAAATCGCAGAAATCGCTCCAGGATCATCAGACTCGATCTTCCGGGGGCAGTTTTCTCGCCGCATCGCCCTGCAAGGGCCCCAGGGCCCGACGCCCAGTGAGAGCGCCCAGCGTGCAACAAAAATTGCAGTGCCCTGCTCTCAAGGCCCCAGTCGCGCGGGCTGAGCAGGGCCCGATCATCCCGGTGTTTCTACAAGCCTACCGCGGCAAGGTCTTAAAACCAATGCGCGTTCCAATAACATGCACAATTTTCTAAGAGCATGAGGCCGGCGTGTTAAAGGAGCGCTGCATCAGCCAGGAATATGTCAAAAACATCTCGTGCAAGCCACAAGAGGTCATTCAACCATTCTTAGTGGGTCTCATTAAGAGCTTCCAAGGGGTGATCCGATGGGGACTCAACGCGATATATATATATATACTTATAACTACAAGCATGGAAACACACCTATATACAAATATCAATATATATATATATATATATGTTATATATTGAATTTATATTATCTATATATACATATATAGAGATGTTTATATATGTATGTATATATATATACGTATATTATACATACATACATACATACATACATACATACATACATACATACATACATACATACATACATACATACATACATACATACATACATACATATTTATATATATATATATATATATATAGGAGCCGTGGCCCCCTAAGGAGCCGTGGCCCCCCAAGGAACCCGCAGTTGCAAACCGGGGTCGAGAGTTCCATCCACGCATCGATGCCAATCTCGCGGTCTACTGGCGGCGGCTGGCTGCGGCAAGCCCGAGCCGCCGCCAGCGCATCCTCGAGGCCAGCGGAGCGGGCCGGCTGCGCGACTGGCAGCAGCTCGCCGGGCCCGGCCAAATCTTGCCACGCGCCGCAAGGCCAGAGACGGCTGAGCTCCTCCAGTCCGCCTGGCCCTTCTTCGAGGTGCCGGAGAGGGACAACCTCGAGCTGAGCGACCGAGGCACCGGCGGAGAGCTGCCCCGCCAAAAGCCGCCGCGACGCCCGCAGATCCGGCGCTGACTCGAAGATGCCGCGCCCGAGGTCCAGGCGATCGATGAGCGCTCTCGCCTCTGGGAGCTCCGACTCCGAGCCCGGAGCGCCCGCCCAAGCAGGGCGGAGCGCTCGGCAGGCCCCGCGCCCTCATGGCCACCCCATTCGGC